GCTGCTGGAGTTGGGTCAGGCATGGGGAAGAACTGCAAATCAGGTGCACAACTGTCCATGCCCACTGCAGTACCGTGGGCACTGAGCAAAGGAGCAGTAGGCAAAAGTGAGGACCAGCCATTCTGGTGATTTTAGGTATCTTCATGGCATTGCCAGCACTGGAGATTTAGGGGGCAAGTCATCAGATGTTTAGGATGTGTCTCATCAGATCTTGTAAAAAGGCTTATTTTTAGTCTGGTGAATATTGGTGTTTGCTTTTGGGGGAATCTTCCAATAGTTTTATGTTTTCTATTCAGGCTTTCTCTGTAACTGTGCACAGTAGAATCTCAGGGAGGAAATGAGCAAGGGCTGGGCAGAAAGGTTTCCCATGTGCATACAGGACGGCAGGAGTTGTGCTCTAGAAAAATCAAACATCATGCGCACTGGAAACTCATCATAGGGTCAGGAGGGAGGTCTGCCTTGTTAGATGCTACAAACAGTGGGTATGTTTCCAAAAATGATCAGAGGCAAATGTTTTTAACAGGTAAACAGATGAAACTGCTTTGTTGCTACTTTCCTTGATTAGTCCATGCATTCACAGATTTTTTTTCTGTAGTTTTATATCATGGCACCTGTAGATGACTAAATCACTTAGGGGCAGATTTTTGAAGATGCGTGGATGTTTATTTTCTGTCTGTGAGCATCCAGAACACCTTAAATACAAAAATTTTTTCAAAAATCCCTTAGGCCAAGCTATTATGTTTCCTTCAGTCCTCACAAAACATTATCTTTGTTCTTCTAAGTTATTGGCTTTTTAAAATGTGTAGCATCTCTCATATGTCCGACCTGAAAATAATGGCCAGCCAGGCACTTTTTCTAATCCGCAAGCATCTCCCCCATTTCCTATACCCAAGTAAGACTGTGTCACCAGGTAAACTTTCAAGGACATATCTATATTTCGCTCCCCAATTACTGCTACCAAACATCCAAACATGCTTCTTTTCCCATTGCCACAGCACGTGCATATGCTCTGGCTACTATGGATGCTATATGTCTGTCCTCATTGAGAGAGGCAGTGTGAGCAAGAGACAGGGAGTTTGTGGCTGCCCATGTCACATTTTCTGTTTGCCCTGTCTCACCTGAGATGGTTTTGACATTTATGCAGTGTTGGCCAGATGTGAATCCTTGTGTTATGATTAAAACATAGGAGACAAGAACTGACCCTCAGTTGTCTTCCAGCATTAGCCCTTGCTGCCCGTTGCTGCTTCTTCCCGTCTCCTGCCACTCATGGGTAGCCATGCCATCGGCCATGTCGGTAGCCAGACCTTGCCAGCAAGAGGAATAAGGGGAATGGAGCCCAACCTTAGCGATTAGATACAAAATTGGCAAATTCATCGCACATTACTTTGATGATTATGTTTGATTGCTGTTTACTTTTTTACCTAGGAGCTGGCTGCAGAAACACCAGATGGTTATAGTCAGGGTGGGATTTGGAGAAGGCTGTGCAAGCTGTTACAATACAAGGCATGCTCAAATTTCCATCAGTGACAGAGACATCTTGACCTTTGGTATTTTGTCAGAAGCTGTGGGGTGGGTTTTTTTTTCTTTTTTTTTTTAAAAGTAACTAAAAAGAGGTGTAGTTATTTTTGGAGTGTCCAGCAAAATTCAGGAAGGACCTGACACCAGCCATTTCCTCTCCTATAGGCACGGGTAGCAGGTCAATATTGGTTAGCGTATGGGCAGCTCTTCAGGTCGAAGAGTGGTCGATTGAATAGGCTTGTGGGTTAATAGATGTGCAGGTAGAAATGAAAGCCTGACAGCTGGAGAGACGGTCACGCAGGCAAGGGAGGCCATGTCCCACCTGCCAGTGCTGCACCATTGTAAACTCAGACCCAACATGCACAAACAACTGCTGAAGGACCAGGCAATTTGGACAGGGAGGTGTTGAGTGTTTCTGCCATCTCTTTTTTCACTAAGTGTTTTTCTGCAGTAGTTGGAACTGGAGAGGGGGAGATCGGAGTTACTCATTCCTAGAGCTGGGGCTTGAAGTAAGCATCCAAAACTGCAAAACTCTCACAGAAGGGTCTGGGAGTTGGTGTCACTTGGCAAAACTTGTCCTATCAGTCTTTGCAACCGACTTGAGCTGCACCAGTGGTATCAGCCTCAAAATCTTGCATAGGTACATTGGGTAAAATTGTGCTTTTCAGTGGAGTCAGTAGCAAAACTTGTAATACTGTTAAAGCCAGAAGGACCGCTGGTCTGATCCTCTAGTTTGGCCTCCTGACTCAGAGTTTTCTCTGTGTGCTTGTGTACCAGTCCCATTGCTAGGGCTTGCTTCAGGCACCCCCGCTTGCTTCCCTTCCCTCAACACTCTCAATTATCATCATTGCCAATAATAGTAAAACCAAAGAAAAAATGTGATTCTCTTGATTAACAAGAAAGTTTACAAGGTATCTTGATCCTGAATGTGTAATTGGGACCGCAGCTAGCAGGGGAGAACCTTTGTTCCTTGTATGGGAAGACTCTGATGAGTCTGAAGAGCAGCTAAGCTGGCATTCATGCCCAGAAAATGAAGCACAACAATTGTTTGCATTGCTTTTTTACAGAGAGAATATTAAAACCCAAATCTTGATTTATTAGCACTGTGAGAAGTGTACAGTCTAACAGAAGTCAAATTTGATATTTTTGGGGAAGTAATGTGTTTCGCATCAGCAGCAAATAGATAAAAGCTTTCTGCAGCTTGTTTCATTTATCACAAGAGAGCATTTGATTCTACTCCTTCCTCCATATTAGGTAAAAGCTTTTGTAAAACATTCATAAACTTCCATAGTTATTACTTAAATGTAATGAATATCTAAACAAACTCACAGATGTTTTATAGTCTTTTATATACTGTGCATGTATCTTCTTTATTCCAGCCTAGCCCTTTAAGCCTGCAGAATCATTCTGGTTTTGTATTTGGGATCACTTGGTCCCAAGAAGACCAGGTCATAAAAAAAAAAACAAAAACCCTCAAAACCAGGTGCTAGCAATGTGCCCTTAGGGCAAAAAAAAAAAAAAAAAAAAGCCTCCAGGGCTGCATTAGGCAGAGCGTTGCCCGCAGGTCGAGGGAGGTGATCCTGCCTCTCTGCTCAGCACTGGTGAGACATATGTGGGTGTTGGGTCCAGTGCTGGGCTACCCAGTACGAGAGAGACAGGGACTAACTGGAGCCAGTCCAGCAAAGGGCCACAATGATGATTAAGGGATTGAAGCGTGTCTATGTGAGGAGAGGCTGAGAGAGCTGGGACTGTCCAGCCTGGACCAGGTGTGGTCCAGAGGATCTTACTGATGTGTATAAGTACCTGATGGGGGGGAATAAAGAAGATGGAGCCTGGCTCTTCTAAGAGATATCCAGTGACAGGACGAGAGGCAGAAATTGAAATACAGGAAATTACATTTAAGTGTAAGAAAAAGCTTTCTTTTTTCCTGTGAGAGTGGCCAAGCACTGGTACAAGTTGCCCAGAGAGGTTGTAGGTTCTGCATCCTTGGAGATACTAAAAATCAGACTGGACACTTGCCATGGGCTCTTGTTGCCCTTGGGCTGGACTAGGTGATTTCCAGAGCTCCCTGCCAACCTCAGCTGTTTTCCATTTCAGCGGTATCTTTGATGCAGCAAACGGGGAGCCTGTCCTATGGTTATAAGGGCACTGATCCTGCACACTGAGTAGCTTGGAGTGAGAGCAATTCTGCAGCAGTTTCTGCTGCAGAACTAAGCAGCTATTAAATGATGACTTATGCTCACTAATGACATCAAATGGAATTTTAACATGTAAACGAGAAGGGGAAAGCAGGGTAACTCGTTATTAGCTATGGGTTTGCCTGAAGCAGGTTTCCCGTGTTAAAGCACTTAAAAGCAAATATAAAATTTATGATGTGTCAGTAGATTTTAAACCTGAATAATGTCCAGTTGTTGTAATGGCTAGTAATGCAAATTATCTGAGTCAGCCTCAGTGTAAAGTGGTAAATATATCCTGCCCATTCAGATACATTTTTTTTTTTTTCCCCCTTTCCCATTAATATTTTATCCCCGTGAAGAGATGTTTTCAACATATTATGTGCACCAACATACTGCGCTCACGGCCTTCCTGGATGTCATTACAAAGAAGCCTGAAGACTATACCGCTGTTCTGCTGCCTGTGACGCTAGCTTGGAAATTGCTTGGAGCAACAACAGCAAGTGTCAACAGGGAGCCGTATTAATTATTTGGAATGTGTCTCATAAGAAGAATCAACTGCTTTTATTGCAGTACGAATATTACTTGAAACAGGAAGGTTACTCTAACTGTTATCGTAATCTATGTGTCATTAACTTTCCATGTTTAGAAAAAGAGACTAACAAAGCTGTAAATTGTAACAGTAAATAGATGAATTATAACAACATGATTTTATTATAAGTAGAAGTTTCTCGATATAGTTACCTCCAAGCAACTGGAGAAAGATTGAGACTTTAGCAGCTGGGGAACTGCATGGAAATGTTGGAAACCAAAAAGCTTCCACCCATGTGAAAGCAATGCCAAGCTCTGCAAACTGATATCTGCATCTTCTGCAGGTGGGAAAAATAGATGCAGTTGTAATTCATACCACGCTTCCTTCAAAATTTTCTGTGACACAGAAATGCTTGCTTCCCTCTTAGAGTGAAAGTAACAGATTGAATGGGCTTGTGTGAAATCGGTTGTCTTCTGTGGCATATGGCCTTTTAAGAGAACGTTGTGTGAAATGTATGTGGTAGTGGTAAAGCAGGTATAACTGAAGTTCAGCATAGTACCCATGTCTGCATGGAAAAAGCAAGCGAAATGGGAGTGTTTTCAACTTTTCATCAGGTGTCTCCACAAAATGGAAGTTCATTGTGAATAACACACAACAGAACAAAATACTTGCAAACCCATTTTGAATCCAGTGCCATAAAAATGCTATATATTTAATTATAGCCCTGATAGATCTCTGTAGGAAACTCTGGAACTAAAACACTTATTTGTCCACAGGGCAGGCTCACCATGGGCAAGTTTCCTACATTGCCCCACCGATCCACCTCGATTCGGATCTGGAAAGGTCACCATCCAAGGGTGAGTCAGTAACACAGTCTCCATGCACGTACATTGTGAACCAGCTGTAGGCATGAGTGCGAATCATTCATTTGTTCGTAAAGCCTCCATGGTAACGTTACCACCCTCCATCCAAGGCCACTCTTGGGAGCAAATTAATTCCTGCAAGAGAGCTGTATGAGATGACCGTGTCCCCTGTGCCCCATTATGTAGCTTTGAACCTACCATCGTGTTCATGAGCTATTTTGCTCTTCCCACTAGTTTACTTCTGGAGGGACATGTATACCTTAGACCTTAGGTCCTGCACTCTGCCTTCCTCCTTTCCTTCCTAATGGCAGCACACAGGCACAGGGTGCTGCTGGCAGGATGCAAAAAGGCAGATTTCAGCTGCCCCGCAGGTGAGTAAAGGTACAGAATTGGTCATGTGATGGTTCAGGCCTGAATTTAATCTGCATCACATTGATCGAGGTTTTTTCTAGAGTCGGTGAGGAGACATGTTCACTCTAGACAACGACTCAAATTTTAGATGAGCTGATTGCCCTTAGGAGCAATGCTAGTAGCTGATACATATGGAGTAAGTCCAGAATAGCCCTGCTAAGATAGGTACCTCTCTTGAATGGTGCAAATAAAGTGATATGAATGTGACCCCTTGATTTTTCTGCCCCATTTGGAGGATCATCCCCTGGCTGTGTTGTGATGAACGCCCAGTGTTTTCCCCTGTGGCCTGGGGGAAATGGGCTTGGCCCCAGAGCAAGCATGTGTGCTGGTGCAGACTTCTTATGCCTCCCTTTGCTCCTTTTAATTAGGTCATCAGTATTCAGATAGGATGTAAAAATGACCAGCTTGTCCTTCTTGGAATGTATAACAGCAAAGCTAAAATCAAACAGACATATTGAGGGATTTCTTGGTCGGCTCCAGAAATGTGTATGAACATCAATGACAGGGAATGCTGAGATAGAAGAGAAGGGGAGGAAGAGGACAGCCCAAGTGTGTTAGTAGGGAGACGCACTATAGCTTAGGTTGGGGTTTTTCCATGCTAGTAGTGTTCTCCAAACGGTGCTACAGTAGCAGAAAGGGTAGGGGATTGTCCTTTGTGGTGATTGTTGCCATTCTTCCCCAACACTGTAAGGCTGCGAGTATGTGTTTGTGTGTGCATGTGTTTCTCTAAGAGCTCAAGATTGAAAAATGCAATGTGTTAATGCAAGATTAATCTGGATAGGCACACTGTCATTATGTAATATGAAGAAAGCTGTCTTCTAAACCTCACTTCATTATCCATCCCTATATATTCTGGGAGACAGAAAAACCTTAGTGTCAGTGAATTGCAGTTGCAACTGTAAACCCTGCTCCTCCAAATGGCCGAAGGACTTTGTGCATTCAATGAAAGCATACTGTTAATGCTTTTGGCGCGAAAGGCTCCCTTAGTTTTGAGTGAGCTTTTCCACCAGCATCCACGTGGCTAGATTGTAACTTGATCGAGTAAACATTTGCTGTGTTTTTTCCCTTTGTAAGTGTGAATGTGTGTTTTCTTAGTTGATGCAGTAACAAAAGCTAAGGAATTGACTCTTGCTGCATAGAAGCACTATTATTCAGCAGTATTGTTCCTTGGTGGCTCCTCTTGCATCTCTGCAAGGTAGAACCATGTGCTGCATGGTGGAGTGTGGGTGTGAGCATGCTGCATTCGCATTTCTCCAAATGTGGTCTTGTCGTGAGTCGGCCTGGTCACGTACAATCTCCTGGCAGTCCACAACCTCCATTCAGCTTTGAGTGAACTACCCTGAGATTTGACACATGCATTTGAGATCATCACCTTCTTCTAAGCCACTTGGAAACCTCCAGTTCTGTGGTAAAATTTACTACCTTGTTTTTTAGCAGAGCACTCCAATAAGGCAAAGACAGTTATGACTTCCAGGACCTTCTTGCTCAAGTCTGTCTTTGATGTTGGATCTGATGATTCAGAGCTTACTTAGAACAGGTCAATGTAAATCCTTGCCATGGGGTCTGGAGCAGCCTATGGAATACTCAAGGATGCTGGACAGCAGCAGCCAAAGAGGCTGTGCCTTGCTTTCTAAAGAAAGCTCTAAAAGAGCTGAAGACTAACAAAAATCTTCAGTAATCTACTGTTCGTGAGGGCATAGCTACCTTTGCAAGATGAATGGCACTGCCACCAGGAGCAGGTCAGAGTAGGTCAGGCAGAACAGTTGAAGTGCTTGCAAAGAAGGTAAAATGGGAGTTTATCCAACATAAACTGCTACATTAACTGCTTCCACCAGGGCCTCCACATCCCCTCCGCCCCCCCGAGCTGAGAGATCTTAAAGAAGGGGCTGCTCAGGGTGGAAGGACTGATATTACTGCTGCTACGCACTGGTAGAAGGACTCGAATCCCCTTGTGTAACTTAATAGGAGAGGGCCAGGGAGGCAGCCAGCTCTGAAGACATCAATCTATTAGCTGGTGACTAGGAGGTGTTAAAAACGTAGTAATTGGTACTGTCTCCTGGGGAAAGAGCAAGGCTTTCCTCTGGCCCTGGGATCTGGGACACGTCGCTCTACTTACCCGTCTGCTGCCTCATTTCCAGCCTCAGAGCCCAAAATCCATTAGAGTGTTGCAGTAATAATGATTTTTTTTTTTTTTTCTCCCATGTGAGGGTTATGAAGTTTTTTTGTTTGACTGCTTTTTCTGACACCTTAGGACATGCTTGGGTCATGTTCCAAGCTTCATTCTGTGACCACAAGAGCTGTTTTAAACAAAGGAGGCAAAACCACTTTTGTCCTTAAGGTCTTGCTGGTTCTCCACATTTCCAGTAGCTGGAACTCTAAAAAAAAGAGCAGCATCATGACAGTCTTCATAAACCACTAATTCTTTTGGCTGTTGCTTTGATGCTTTTCATTTCCCTTCTGCATTCCCCCTTGCACTGATCTGAACACCAGGTGCAGGTCAATGTTGCACTTAGAGTGGCAAAAAGAAGAAGCCACTATACAATTTTAATTGTAATAAATGGAAATAGAGCCAGGGTAGGGTTATAAAAGCGTCTTTCCTTCCTGTATTATTAAAAAACGATACAGCTTTAGTGCTCCTGTGGGTCTATGCAGTTGCAATTCTCAGCTGGCAGATTTATTTGTAACTGCCTCTTCCTTCTCCTTTTTAAAAATTTTATCACTGGTGACATTTACACACATTGTTTATGCATGCAGGGCATTTTCACCTGCTTTTCAGAGTCCTGATGCTAGTAGTGAATAGAGTATAAACTCCAGTAGTTTACTAGTACATTAGTGTCATCGTGCATTACAGGGTAATTACTCTGAGCCACTGCTCTGTACAGTAACACAGTAATGACACTGTAAATCACGTAATAGAAATGAGGCCCTGAATCAGCTTTTTTTATCAAGCCATTTCTTATTCCCTACCCCCTTTTTAATTTGAGGGTGTTTTTAAAATTAGTTCTGTGTACAAAGCACTGTTAACCATTATTAACCACATTAACCATTGTTAACCATAACCTTCTCCCAGTCTAATGATATGGACATGATTACATTATTTTTACACAACTATTATCCATACGCAGAATAATTCCAGGAGTAGCTGAGACCTCAGGTTGTGATCTCATAGACTGAAGATTAAACCTGTGTTTAAAAATGGATCGCTGATTACTGACAATAGCGAGGAGTTTCACAGATGAGGGTGATGCTGATACTCTGGCTTAAAAAGGGATTTTATGAAATTTTCATATATAACAATAAAAGAAATTTAACATTTGGACTCAAATTCTTCCAGGTACTAAGACAGAGAAAATCACTGAACCCACACACTAAAACCATTTATAAAGCTTTATAGAAGCAGATTTTAGTGTATACGTGGAATCATATTACACATTAAATATATGCCTGGTGTTTAAAGCTAGGCAGTCTGAGGACCTCTCCTCCCCTGTTGAGCTAAAGTTTGCAAAGGTTTCCTTCAAAGTTGAAGCTCAGGGAGTAGTTGTCTTGGAGATCAATACTCTTGAAGTCAGTGCATTTCCAAAACATGAACTGATGAGCAAAACTGTGTATTGGTCCCCAGTTCTAGAAATAAATAGCAAATAAAGGAGGGATGGGAGGTTCTCACCCTTCTGTGCAGATTTCTCTAGCCAGGGAGGTTGTTTTGGCCCCAATTAAGGCATTGTGTAGTTTTTTTTTTTCTTGTAAACCTCAGTTGTGAGGTTCAGCCTCCATAGATGCAGAATTTACCACTTGTCAAGGAGACAGCCAGAGGTTTTGCTGGTTTTTCCCCACTTTGTTCTTCCACTCAGCGGCATGTCCTTTTGTGCTTTCTTCCTTCAAAAGCTGGATCCATTCTGCCATTTTTCTCCCCCTGTGCATTTGCAGTGTTTGAGAGAAAACCGTTCCTGAACATCAGAAGCACTGCAAAATCTTATTACCAAAAATAGAGCAGGTTTTTGGATTCTGGGTCTTTTTTTTTTTTTTTTTTTTTTTTTCCTTCCCTAAAGGTCCCAGAGTGGGTCGATGGCTTTGCAGTTGATGTGGGAAGATCTGACAGCCGGGCTCAGTGCACAGCCCCAGTCCTCCTTCCTAGGTCCGGAGAAAGGGGAGTACCAAGCAGCGAGGCCCAATGGCACTCCTTGCTCTAATTCAAGCTGACACATGGGGTCACGCATTCCATGTTTGCCAGGCCCTGAGACACCAGCTTTCCTGTCTCTCCCTCCCCAGGCCCAGTGCTATGAGAGAGGTGCTGTTCAGGAGTCACTGCTCTGAGCCGATGGTGGCCAGGTACCTCCTGTTTCCAGGCTTTCCCATTCTCTACTTGAGTCCCCTGGGAAAGGCATTCCCTCAGCTTGAGAGTCCTTTACAATGTCCCTCTGGTTCTTTTCAAGGTCCTGCTTTTACTCATCCTACTCCTTCCCTTTAGGGTTAGTTACAGCTATATGTTTCCAGCTTCTTAAGGTGATATCATTTTCCTGCCAGTGTTCAGGCAGGAGAGTCCAGAGGAGAGGCTAATTTGATGCCTTTGAGCCAAGAGAGGACCA